TCTTTGCAATTAAAAAGAAACAACATGTTTTTAGATAATTTCAGTACATTGATTAATCATCCTCACTGAGGAGATTTTCATCTTCTCAATTTTGATGTTCCCTAATTTACATAGAAAAAAATAATAGTGATAGTAATTAAGATCAACTTAGGCTTAATTATGCTACACTGCAGGGTCAAAGTGCCATAATTAATGTTCACCCAGGGGTAATTAATTTCTAGAAGCTTTGAAGACTTCCTTTTTCCTCCAGCATGCTGACTTCATTCTCATGGACTTGCTGCTTCTCCTTATGATTCTCCAAAACGTTTTATTTGGCTACAAACTGCAGAGCCTTCGCTGCGTCGCTCTGCGAGGGGTGGCTGCGCTGTGGCCAGCAGGCTCGAGGGCGACGCTGCTCCAGATTCGCTCTTTGCTTCCCAGAGAATCATAGAGATCTCAGCAGCAAAGCTGACTACCCAACTCACCTCTTAATTTTCTCAAGATTTTTTTTAGCTCTGTTTCAATTATATGTTAATACAAAAGCTTGTCAGTGGCCTCTTGCCTGGCCCTGGATGGCACAGACCTCTGCCAAGCACTGTCCTGCAGTCAGAACACGCTGCAGCCACTTCCAGGAAAGAAGTGAAACACTTACTACGTATTTGTCCATTTTTATTTATCTTCTAACAAGGTCTGGAAGCTGGAAAGCAGCAGATGCAGGAGCAGGAATCTGCCAGCTCCTCACAGACAAGTTTTCAGCTCCTTGGCCATGCAGGTGATAACTCACAGTGCGACCTGGGACCAGTATGTTCAGCCACAGGGAAAGGTAAATGGGACACACACACACACACGTGCCTGCTCCTAAGATAAAACACAGGGAGGACACGTAGATTATTTTCCCCATCAGCAGAGGCAGGGTAGGACTGTGCAGAACACCAGGCTTTGTAATCTTACGCTAGAGCACACCTTCTCATCATGAGAGGAAATTTAAAATTACACACACACACCTCAATACGTCCTCCAAACGGGATCAAATCCATTGGTCCTGGATTTGAGTCCAAGATACGTCTTTTACTTCTTATTAGACCCTTAGGAGAACATCAGACTAAGCGATGACTGAAGCAGACCTGGTGACACTGCATGCGACCAGGCATGAGCCCCTCCAGATTACCCTAGTTTTTATTCTCATAGAAATATGTGGCTAAGAGGAAACATTTCTAAACAAAGAACAGCAAAGTGACTGCTGCAAGATACTCAATCAAATTGCTTGGTAGGAGTAGAAAACTATTTGCTATGTGGGCAGAAGAGACCCATCAGCAACTACACTGGCTGAAACACGCTTCCAAGAGCTCTTGATCCCCATCCTCGAGGGTGTAAGCTGATTGCCAGCTGAAGTCCAGAAGAAAGTCCCATCCATGCTGCAAGAGAATTACAAGGGATTTTCTATCCTCGAAACACCTGAAATGGGCACCTGCTCACACAGAGGTTGGTAAATGGTATGAACTAATTGAACCTTCTTGGTATGGCAATTTCTAGAAAAAAATCAGAGTATTTCATCTCTTTTCTCACTGTGCAGATTAAATGTACACAAAGGCATGGAGTGAGCTGACTTTCCTGGCTACGGAGCATGTGAGGATCGGAACAAAACACCTGCTTCGGGCTTAGGAAATGAAACCCCTAATTGGCGGCGTGATCTCCACGGAGCAATTCTAGCACATTTAATTAGAAGGGACTTCTCGCCCCACCTATGCGCTGCTGCCCGGCCCGAACTGCTTGTTTGAGCACAGCTGTTCGGCAATTAGCTTTTCCTTCCTATGCTCAGAGGCTGACTGACCCTGAATCTGTGGATTTTCCAGGGAGATTTTTATTCGTACATTTAAAAAAAACAACCCAGAAGGTCTACGCAGGGAACCTGAAAAGAACTTCAGCTTTTGCATGGTTGCTTTCCTCTTCCCTGGGCAAACAGCAGCAGTAGCTCCTTTCCCTGCGGAAGCAGCGTTTCACTCTCCTGCAAGGCAAGCTGCAGTGTTTTACAGGCACGGAGAGCACGGCGCCGACAATGATGCTGCAGCCAGCACGGAGCGGGGCCTGCAGACGGAGCAGGAGACACGCACGAGGAGCTGCTCCAAAACAGGGATGAGCGTGGATTTGTCTCCTAAAGAAACAGCCCCAGCAGGAACAGCAAACACCCCCGCACCCGCTTCTGTCACTGCTGCGAGGGGTTTTCGCCCGACCCAACATCCTGGCGCTGCCGCCGGGCATCGATGAGCCCGGCACGACACGACCTTGCTCTGCACAGACCCAGGGAAGCGCCTCGCCTGCCTCCCCCTCCTAAGCCCTGCATCCAGACCCGCGAGAAGATTACTGACTTTATTGACAGTCTTTCATCTTCCTGCAGGAAATTCAGGGCTCTCAGCTAAGCTGAGAGCTTGTATCTTCATCGTGCGAGCTAAATTGATTGCTCCTTCAGCTCCCCCGGCAGCTCGGGGGGTGCTGGAGAGCCAAGGCAAACAAGCAGCCAGTGATTTAGATGATAAACATCACCAAAGTGTTTTCATTTGTCATCTTGTTTATGGCCCATGTGACAAGATAAAACTGGCAGGCTGAGATAGATATCGCCATTACCATCGCTGATGGAGTTAAGTAGGCAATGTGCTCTTAGGCGGTTTTAGAGCTCCCAGTTTTCCAGTTACGGTCCCCAGTTTGAAGACCATCCTTTTCGCCACTTTGATCTGCAGTGACAACCCCCAAGAGCGGCCCAGATCGCTCCTTGTGGACAAGGACCAAGAGATGATGCCCTCAGAGCTATGATGGCATCTTTGGGGCTGCTGGTGCTGGGCTTGCTTCGGGGCATCTATAGAGAACATGCAGAAATGGAATCTAGGAGCCTGGGAGAATTTTATGGAGGGAAGAAGCCCCAGAAGGATTTTGCTTTACATAAAGCAGCGTAGAGATGTCTCACGAAGGAATCACCAGCTAGAACAAGGGTTCAGGAGCCCATAGAGACTCCACGGTTAGAGAGAAGCGGGGAAAAGGCTCGTTGCACAGCTCATATTTTTACGCCAATTTCCCAGGATTTTAGGCTGAGAAGCAAGCGTGGGACTCCATGCTAATTGCCATTTCCTTTTTAATTAACAGGGGCCCTTCTGCAGGATGCTACGACTGAGAGCACCGTCCGCCCGCTGCGCTTTGGCTCGCAGGCCTGGCAC